TAACCCAACCAGTATCTGCCCACTCAACATACATAGAATTAAGCTAGAACACTCAACATACTAGAACTAAGCGCAGTAACACGAATTCAGACAGCCTAAGTACATTTTATTAAGCGTGTTTAGTCAGTCAGGCAGGCCTAATTGTTTGTTCTCACTTTGCTTCCTTCTCCTAATAAACGTGCACCGCTTGCTTAACAGTTACGTGAACCTCACACGCAGTGATATTTATGTTCGGGTTAATGTATATTGCTTGCCTTACTCACTTGTTAACTGTAATACTTGACATATGTCCTGCTTTCCGCTACCTGCTACCACTCAATACCTATATATTTTTAAAAAAAATGTGCATTTCTCAACTGCCATAATTGTGAAGCGTTGTATTACTGAGCTTATCACTGCTATTGTGGCAGAATAAGCCGATATGTTCACTTATGCATTCAAAAATAAAGAATAAAAAAAAACAACAAAAAAAAACAACAACATTGTATTATATTTAACCATTTTTGGTCCAAACTGCACTTTGTCCGAATTCAGGCCGATCGGGGGATTAGCTTAATCCCTGAACAGTGAGCTGAAATGCATTCAAATCTCGAAAACAAAATGAGCCACGCAATGGCCAATATGTTTAATTCATGATTCTGAATTTAACCATTGTCCCTTAATCATTTTAGTTCGTCTGATTAGTTTCCAAATTGGGTTACTGGTGCCAAACTTCTGCTGAGCCGAACTGCTTAACGCAGAACTAAAGTGATCAAACAACCATCATTTTATAACGTGATTCGAATTTGCACAATCAACTTCCGGCCCTAAGAATCATTGTACTGCAAGACTTGGCTCAGCCGAGAGCTTCCTACTTCACAGAACAGTGAGCAGACTTGTTTTGTATCAAGCCAAGGACGCCTTGGAAGATACGCCCACTACCAAGGGGACACCGCCATCTTGCAGACGCACCAGTCTAGAAATGACATGCTTCAGGTTCACAGGGCCAGCACACTTGTTTTCAAATTAAGCCATGCTTAAAAATAAAAAGAACATTAATTAAAGTATGGTTAATTAAAAATATAAAATGCAGGTTTCTGTCATAGCTGTTAAACTCTGAAATCTCACAGTGTAAATGTAAAGTAACATTATGTCACAATTTTCTCTGTGTGTCACTGTAATACACGATACAGACACACTCTCCACTTATCAAATAGCGCCCTCTCTCTGTGTGTCACTGTAATACACGATACAGACACACTCTCCACTTATCAAATAGCGCCCTCTCTCTGTGAGTCACTGTAATACATGATACACACTCTCCACTTATCAAATAGCGCCCTCTCCCTGTGTATCACTGTAATACACGATACAGACACACATTATCCACTTATAACATAGCGCCATCTGTCTGTGAGTTACTGTAATACACTATATGGATACACTATCCATTTATCTGTGTTACTGTAATACACGGCACAGACTGATTCTATCTGTATATTGCATAGAACATAATGTCCCACCCCCGTGTATAACAGTGACACATAGGGGGGGGCACCATGTGATGTGCGGAGAGAGCATGTCTGTTCTGTATTATGGTAACACACAAACGGGGTGGTAGGCAATATGCTGATAGACTGTCTATCTTTTAAAGGAACACTTCAAAAACCTTAAGTACTTTACATGTAAAGAGTGTGTCCTGTTAACCTTGTTACAACCCTAGCTGTCAATCAGACACACAGTCCTGTTATGTCCTAGGTTGGTTAACTCAGTGAATATAAACTCAAGAGGCAGCAATTGCCCAGAGCATCTGCCTCGCCCCCATGCCAAGTCTGTGATTGGACAGCCACAGACGTCTGGGCGGGATTAGAAGGGGAGGGCTTGCAAAGATCTGCAGCTTTTACAAGCAGGTTTTACATATATCCTTATTGGGTGTTTTCATTGGGTGTATATCTACTAAATACTGTTTGGTGTATTTTGTTTATATGAGCTCCTTTAAGACAATGTTTTACGAGATATATCAGATAAATGGGACAATATATTTTGCTTTGTTTTTTGTTACACATTATAGATAATAATGTTATTTTACTATAACCCTTATGAAAGAATGCTTGTGAGCAGAATTCCTGCATTCTAAACTAAAACCGATAATTCCATAAAGTAGTGTCACATTGAAGTAGTAGAAACAGACGTTTTGGATTGTCCATACAGAATCTTGCAGTAAAAGCTTTGAAATGTGACCTGTTTGCCTTTATGCTGCCCACGTCTGCGTTTAGAAATCAGTCTCAGATATCGCTCGCTGCACATTTACTTTCCTCTGCTCACTTAATCAGCCCGCTGTGCTGGCAAGCATGGGCCATGTGTTCCTGGATAAAACGCCATTTGTTGTTTTCATCTCAAACACTCTGAACGCCACTTGTGTTCTCATCCTGCTGATACCTCATCTTCCCCACCTCCCACACACACAGGGAACCTCTAAAAATAAACCATTAATGGAGGGGATGTGCAGTTAACCCTTTTTTACAGACACCATATTTATATAGAAACATAGAAACATAGAAACATAGAATGTGACGGCATATAAGAACCATTCGGCCCATCTAGTCTGCCCAATTTTCTAAATACTTTCATTACTCCCTAGTCTTATCTTATAGTTAGGATAGCCTTATGCCTATCCCACGCATGCTTAAACTCCTTTACTGTGTTAACCTCTACCACTTCAGCTGGAAGGCTATTCCATGCATCCACTACCCTCTCAGTAAAGTAATACTTCCTGATATTATTTTTAAACCTTTGTCCCTCTAATTTAAGACTATGTCCTCTTGTTGTGGTAGTTTTTCTTCTTTTAAATATAGTCTCCTCCTTTACTGTGTTGATTCCCTTTATATATTTAAATGTTTCTATCATATCCCCCCTGTCTCGTCTTCCTCCAAGCTATACATGTTAAGATCCTTTAACCTTTCCTGGCAAGTTTTATCCCGCAATCCATGAACCAGTTTAGAAGCCCTTCTCTGAACCCTCTCTAAGGTATCAATATCCTTCTGAAAATACGGTCTCCAGTACTGTGTACAATACTCCAAGTGAGGTCTCACCAGTGTTCTGTACAATGGCATGAGCACTTCCCTCTTTCTACTGCTAATACCTCTCCCTATACAACCAAGCATTCTGCTAGCATTTCCTGCTGCTCTATTACATTGTCTGCCTACCTTTAAGTCATCAGAAATAATCACCCCTAAATCCCTTTCCTCATATGTTGAGGTTAGAACTCTATCAAATATTCTGTACTCTGCCCTTGGGTTTTCACGTCCAAGATGCATTATCTTGCACTTATCCACATTAAATGTCAGTTGCCACAATTCTGATCATTTTTCTAGTTTACCTAAATCATTTGCCATTTGACTTATCCCTCCTGGAACATCAACCCTGTTACATATCTTAGTATCATCAGCAAAAATACATACCTTACCATCAAGACCTTCTGCAATATCACTAATAAATATATTAAAGAGAATGGGTCCAAGTACACATCCCTGAGGTACCCCACTTTTGACAAGTCCAAGCTTTGAATATATTCCATTAACTACAACCCTCTGTTGCCTGTCACTCAGCCACTGCCTTACCCATTCAACAATATTGGAATCCAAACTTAAAGATTGCAGTTTATTGATAAGCCTTCTATGTGTAACAGTGTCAAAAGCCTTTACTGAAATCTAGGTAAGCAATGTCTACTGCACCACCCTGATCTATAATTTTAGTTACCCAATCAAAAAAATCAATAAGATTAGTTTGGCATGATCTCCCTGAAGTAAACCCATGTTGTCTCTGATCTTGAAATCCATGTGTTTTTAGATGTTCATCAATCCTATCCTTTAACATGGTTTCCATCACTTTCCCCACTACTGAAGTAAGGCTTACTGGCCTATAGTTGCCCGACTCCTCCCTATTACCTTTCTTGTAAATGGGCACAACATTTGCTTACTTCCAATCTTCTGGGACTACTCCTGTTAACAATGATTGGTTAAATAAATCTGTTAATGGTTTTGCTAGTACACCACTAAGCTCTTTTAATAGCTTTGGGTGTATTCTTAAGAGGATGTCAAGCTGGACAACTCAGAAAGAAACATATATTGAGAGTCAGACTAATTGCACGTAATCGTAAAAGTGTATCGACCTGTCCTGGGTTCTGTTTGTCTGTTACGTTGAAGATACACAGACGGAAATTGAAACCTCGGATGTGTTCATGGAACCAGCATGTTCCCTTGTAAATACTTTGAACTGTTCTACTTCCTCCATTCACAGCCAAACGCCGCAAGAAACTGGGAAGTGGGTTGCAAAGAGGTACCCCCAGAGATTGGCAGCACAACAGACAGTGAGACAGACTAAAGTGCGAATGGCCATGTTCCAAATGGGGCAAAACCATCCGACTGCAGAAAGGGCCACTTGTACTGCAATATCTGGACATTGTTCATATAATTTAACAATGCCTGAATTTTGCCAGAGAGTCAACATATAACACAGAAATATATTAACACAAAAATCCATACAGACGACTTACATATAAAGAATAATAATATATAATAGTAAAATAATAATATATAAATATATCAAATGAGTGTAATTATATAAGAACAACAACATTAAAATTAGTTAAAAAAATAAATAAAAATACAAATGAAAATAAAAAAATCTAAAATGTCAGTAGGATTCAATAAACAATATTCAATTTAAGAAATTGATCTGTGTTACATGAAAATTAGAAGCAAAGTAAAATCTATAAATCTTCGCCTTAGCACAGATTTGGCCTTTAGCCATGTTGGGACCAGACATATTGATCCGCAGTTATGGGGGAGTATTCGTGCTGCCTCCCTGATTAAACAAAAACCAAAGAAAAAAAGTTACCTGCGCTCTCTCCTTAATCCCTATGTATATTTAAACAAATGGAGGTTATTTAGTTACTCCAATGGCCACTGGAGGGAATGCCGCCTGCCAACGTCAAGGCAGACCCCTCTAGACGGGTCCTAACACTGACCTTTCACCCTGCTTCCTTGAGCTTCTGGCAAAGATATCTCCACTGAGACAGAGAGGGGTATTTTTTATATACCCCCCTATATACTTATTAACCCTTAATAGGGAACACATGGGATGGGCGGCAGCATTGTAACCAGGCTGTGTGATACAAAAATTTAATACAAATACAGAAAAAAAAGTCCTGCTCTCACTCTCATTAGAGATATTTTTGCCAGAAGCTCAAGGAAGCAAGGTAAACGGTCAGAGTAGGACCCGCTTAGGGGAGGGTCTGCCTTGACGTTGGGAGACGGGCATTCCCTCCAGTGGCCATTGGAGTAACTAAATGACCTCCATTTGTCTAAACATACATAGGGATTAAGGAGAGAGCGCAGGTAACAGTTTTTCTGTGGTTTTTACTGTATGTATTAGCTGATGTGTACTGTAGTCATTGCTGCCGCCCAGGAGTGATGGGAGTGAGCGCAGGAGTTTTCTCCCTGATTTAACAGCAGATTAGAAAGGGTTCGCATAGCAACTCATCACGTGGATATGGGTGTGTCTTAATGAGAGGAAACACCCCCATTATTGGATTAGTGTATTATGGATGAAAACTCCAGTGGGACACGTGGGGGGGGGAGAGGGGGTTAAAGATAGCGTTTTAACCCACTTTGTGGGTTTTATCTATTCATTGACACTTTACTGTGATTCACCAACCTTGGAGACCCTGAGGAAATCCTAATGGATGAAATGCGTGGGGCGTGGTGTGTTGGGTAGGTAATCATTTGGTGATGTTTCCATGTGATTATTACTTATTATTATTATTATTATTATTACTATTAGTGGTATTTATATAGCACCAGCATATTCCATAATGCTTTACAATATTATGAGAGGGGGGATGTAACTATAAATAGGACAATTACAAAAACTTACAGTAACGATAGGTTGAAGAGGGCCCAGCTCAATCGAGCTTACAGTCTATAGGAGGTGGGTTATAAAACACATTAGGACAGGAAATAGCAATCAAATAAGGTGAGAGTGAAGCAGAGCTGGAGGAGAGAGTAGAGTGCTGCCCTTTGGGAGGCCATAAGCTTTCCTGAAGAGATGGGTTTTAAGGAACTTTTTAAATTATGGTTATATTCATTTGATTTCAAAGGAAGGGAGGCGCCCGCGAGAAGTCCTGCAAGCGTGAGTTGGCTGTACGGGTGCGAGCAGCGGACAGGAGAAGTTCATGGGCAGAGCGGAGAGACCAAGAAAGAGCTTACCTATGGATCTGAGTTGTTCAGTGTTTTATAGATGTGAATTAGTACTTTGAATGACTCCTATAGGATACAGGAAGCCAATGTAAGGTCTGATAGAGGGATGAGGTGTGAGAGGAGCGACGGGAGTTGAAAATCAGTCTAGAGACAGAATTCATTACAGAATGTAGCGGGGCAGTACAACTGTGATAAGCTGTGAATATTTGTAATCCATTTAAGTGCAATAAATTTAGTATGCACTGCACCATCTGTTTTTTTTTTAATGTTTTTAGTATTGTGATGTGCCAAGCACAATACTGGATGTTTTGAGATCACATTAGATCTGGATCAATTGATTTTTTTTCATGCCAGTATTAATTTGGGGTCTGTTTTCTGTATCTCCATATATTTTGTATCTACGTATATCAGGACTGGAAAATCCTGAGAGGAATGAACCTCTCATTGGTGTGGTAAGTACATTTTTATACACATTTGGAGTGTTTGCAAATAAACTAATACCTGTTAAAAAGAAACTATTCCTACCAACAAAAGTCTTCTTTCTTCTACTTTTTATAATCTTAATCCCCACAAAAGGCCAATAAAAATCGATATCTCACGGTAATGTTTAAAATAAATAGTGCTTGATTTCTTTAGAAAAAAAAATGACCACAATAAACTGAATTCAACTTCACCCATGGAGGGCTTGCTGCACACTGAGCTCTGATAGAGGGGCAATTCTTTAAATAGGCTTGCCATACAGGGGCAATTCCTTAAATAGGCTTCCCATACAGGGGCAATTCCTTATATAGGCTTCCCATAGAGGGTCAATTCCTTATATAGGCTTCCCATAGAGGGGCAATTCCTTAAATAGGCTTCCCATAGAGGCGCAATTCCTTATATAGGCATCCCATAGAGGGGCAATTCCTTATATAGGCTTCCCATAGAGGGTCAGTTCCTTATATAGGCTTCCCATACAGGGGCAATTCCTTATATAGGCATCCCATAGAGGGGCAATTCCTTATATAGGCTTCCCATAGAGGGTCAATTCCTTATATAGGCTTCCCATAGAAGGGCAATTCCTTAAATAGGCTTCCCATAGAGGGGCAATGCCTTATATAGGCTTCCCATAGAGGGGCAATTCCTTATATAGGCTTCCCATGGAGGGGCAATTCCTTATATAGGCTTCCCATAGAAGGGCAATTCCTTTTATAGGCTTTCCACACTATCAGCTATTGCAAGCCCTGGGGAAATGTCCCACACTTTGCAATATGAGTCAGAGCGTTCTGATTGGTTGGCTAGAAAGTCAAATTCTGAGAGGTGGGTGGGGGTGCGAGTAGCAGACAGGAGAGGACAGCAGGTGCTTCTCCCATTTAATATCAATATTAGGACGTCCACGTGAAACTAATGGGTGGAGGAGTTAGAACTCACCATGTTCTCAATTGCTTAGTTCTCTATGTTGACTTCTATATTTGGCTTAGCCATGACCCCACATTGCACGACTCATTTTGTTCCATTAAAAGGAAGTATCTCTTTAGGATCACTCCAATGGCATTAAACTGTAAGCTCACCTGCCACGTTAACGCGCACCTCTTAGGCGAGTCCTACACCAACAATTCACCTTGCTGCTTTCAGCTAAACTTAAAATCTCCAATGAGACAGAGAGGGGTATTTTTCAAAACCCTTTATATATTTATTAACCCTTAACAGGAAATACATAAGGTGGGTGGCCACCCACAGTGGAGACACGATGTAAAATGCTGATTTAAATGTATATAAATAAATAAATAAATACATATGTAAATTATTAAGGGAAAAAAGAACTATGGTGAAAAGAAATCTTTCAATAGCATTTTGTTAATGTTATTATTATTATTGTCGCCATTTATATAGCACCAACAGATTTTATAGAAAGTTGTTGACAGGTTCTTCTTAATATAATTAGGATGTAAAGGTGGGAACACACGGGAAATACACAACATTCTGAGCTGGTCGTTTGCAATAACTTTCTTTAATCTATTAATGTACCTGTTTATCTTGGACCCAGACTGTGTAGGTTGGATATTCAACGCATTTCACAAACATTTTCTGAGCTGTATATACTGTGTGCAATTCCTATCTCTGACTTACCATACACTCGAACATAGTCAGAAAATTATTTTCAGTCTAACCATTTCAAAAAAAAATTTTTAAAAATTAGCAAGGCTAAATTCTGGCCATGTCGGTTTGGCTTGGCAGAATTTTGCTAGTGAAAAAATGATTCGGCAAACACATCAGACGAACCATAAGGGTGTGAATGTGGGCCAATCAGAGCATTGCAAAATATATACATATATATGAGAATATTAAAATATATATATTTTTTTCTCAATGTTTCATTTTGTTACGACACGTACCGTCGGGTAGATGAAGCCGCCGTTTAGGCAATAATCCCCTTCTCCAGAAATGCAGGTTAAATTCAGCCGACCGCCAAACTCCCGAACGAAGTCCGCGAACACGGCAACTCCCGATCAGCCAAACAGTCGAACGCCTTCCACAGCTAGAAATAACGAAAGCGCTGTCCCAGTAATAATTCCCCCACAAACGAGACCAAGCTCCGTCTTGAGGGTCAAATGAAGATCTGTTTAATGGGGGCTACCTGCCATTTATGCAGGTCTCCACAAGGTGGACACTCCCCGAGGGGACCTTGTGGAAGACTGTAAAACATATTGTACAGTAGCCAATCGCAGTGGCTTCAATAATAGCCCTTCCCATCTTGCCCATAATTCCTTCTCCTCTACCTCGGAGATAATTAGGAAGAAACCTAATTATCTCTCAAGGTAGAGACAATCGCCATCTTGGAATACAGTAACAAATTTACATTAAAATACATAACAACAGAATTACCGAATGCATATGGTTCGTGCAACGTATCCCCTGACAGCCTGGATCTGAGGGCATGTTTTCACCGAATAGCGCTCAGATCCGATGTATCTAGTCGAATCGCCATGGACTCAAAGTCTTTCACCAGTCCTTCGGTATACGAATGACTCCATGGGATGGCTGTCGGGGCGAAAGTCCATACGAATGAACAAAACTCCCGAACGACCGACGTTCGCATGCCTTGTCGAAAAGGAAGGTAGGCAGCAGCTTTTCAGCGGTGTTCGGTAGTTTAAGTGTCCGTTTTTAGTTCCATACAGTTTGTACCGAACACCGCTCTGTGTTCGTATGTCCCAAAATGGCCGCTGCCTCGTGGTCGACATGCGAACGACGACCACCCGTACGAATGGAATGGAGAGGTGTCTGCGGTTAACCACAACGTTCTAATTGGGGCCAGGAGGTTAACCAGCAGCACACTCCTCTCCTGGGTGGTCGTTCGTTCGGTAGTTTCAATCGGTAGTTTTGCAAATTACACGAACGGGGGTATACGAACAGGCAATTCCGCGAACAAAGGGAAACAGACGAACCAACAATGCAGATGAATCTGTCACAATATTTATTAAGCTGCCAGCCTTCTTTGCAAATGTAACTATGGGCTGGTGGGAAACTTGTCTCATCTGCATTAATAGTAATGAAAATGTATAACATATTATTCAGCAGTCTCTCAGATTAAAAATATTCTGTTGAAACAATGGCACGTATTACCACACAAAGTATTACAAGTGAACTTGAAAGAGAAATCTTCAGAAAGAATGCAACAATAAAGAAAATATAATAATATAGCCTCGGGAGAATAAGAAAGAAGCAGTATAATAATAAAATGTAGCAACTTACTGGGATATATAGGTATGGCATGAAATCACGACTGGACGCTAATAAACATACACGTGTAGTAGGATATTTCACCGTCCAGTATTTTACTTTTATAAACTAACTCAACGTATTGTTGGTTCCTGTTTCTACTGTGGGGAGAGGGGACATTTCATTTCCTTTTGTCCTATTCGCCCATCTAAACCTCAGGTTCTCCGTGTGAGTACTACTCACTCGTATCCTAGGAGGCCTGGGTGATGAGACCAATCTCGCCACATTGCATTGGAGAAGCCTGGTTGCTCGCCT